CAACTCATCAGGCGAATGGGCCTTATATCACTTTTAAATATCAACTCTCGTTTGCGCTGAAATCACAAATTAGAAAGCTGAAATAGTACAGCGCCTATAACTAACCTGTGTGTACACACATGTGATCTGTGTGTGACGTACGTCTCCGTATATTCCAAAAATATTCTGTATTTATTATAATAAAGATAATATCTCTAACTATGGGGAGCTGTTCCATTCTTTGGTGTAGGATATACAGCAAAACATCTAATTACAAAACAAACGGAATCACATTTCATCGGCAATTAAATATGAAATATGTAATTTTGCAATTTTCGTTTATTGATAATAATAATAACGTACACACTCAACATAGCCCCGCACTAGGGGAAACCCTGTGTCGCGGGTGCCATGGACACACAATTAGACAACCACAAATTACACCCAAACTCAAGAGAAATAAATGTAGGCCATACAAATATTTCTCCCGGCCAGGGAATCGAACCTGGGACCTCTGCGTGGCAGTCCGGCATGGTAACCGTTCGGCCACCGAGGCAGTTATAGCAAAGCTCAAGTTAGACTGGCCGATATGAAGTGAAACGATTGACGACACCCGTCAATTGTTTCGAATTCAAGCTGGCCAATCGGAGCGCTGTAATGATTTGGCAGAATAGTTTTCAAACAAATGACATTTCGTCTCTATTTCTGGTTATATGCTCGATGGGTAATGTAAAACACTAACAAGCTCGCAGGACTATGTTACTAACATCATAAACAAAAACTTTTGTTCTGTGATTTTTTACAAGACAATGAGATTACCAAAAATATTTTTTTAAGTATTTGCGCCCTGTCTGACACTTTTAGACTATCTTTATTTGTTAAGTTCAAACGCGCAAGCGTCCACCCCGACGACCCCCAGTCTCGTTCATGCGTATTGCAGTGGACTGGTATTTTGTTATCGCACAGAGTTTCATCATTTAAAGCGATACGTTTAAATATTTTTAATTTTGTACTAAAGTAAAATGATGAATTATGAAGGAACAAAAGTTGTTGTGTATCTAATTATCAAACGCGTTCTTGATTGTGCGTTTTTTTTTAATTTATTTCTTCTATTTTTTACAAATATCACTTTCCAATTCGTCACTTTTTTTCTTAGATACGTCTGTTGTCGTATTATTTTAATTTATATTTCTTTGTTTTATATTTTCAGATGAACGAGATGCAATACAGAAGAAGACGTTTACGAAATGGGTTAACAAACACCTAAAAAAGGTAAGTTCAGTTAATTATTGTTTATTTATTCATTTCAAAAAAGCTGTCACAATTTGCTGAAATTGTGACAGCAGTGAATACTGAAAAGTACATTGAAGTAAAAAAATAAGTTTTTAAAATATCGATTCTTCTGTGATACTAATTGACTGGACGACCAAATCTTGCGCCCCGTGGCGAGCGACACGCCGTAACAGTTCCTACGCCACTTAAGAGCTTTAAAATTGCAAGGATCTAAACGGCATTACCTCTACGTCTGTCACTCTGAGACATAACGTCGGGGATAGTACAAAGGCGCGAAAGTAACATTGGTAAAAAGCACGTATCCCCCCGTGATCAAATTTTACAGTAGTAGGTTTGAACGTTATTATTTTGTTATTTCAATGGCTACAACTTTAATTTTTTATTACATCAAGTGACGGGGCGAACAAGTCGTACGCGTGATGGTAAGCTACACGCCTGTCCATAACAGTTACAGTGCCACTCAGAGCTTTAAATTGCAAAGATCTGAGCGGCACTACCATTGCACCCTGAGACGTAAATTAACAACAGACGGACTCTTTCACAAGGAGCTCTACTGCTACCTTTTGCACAGTAAGCGTTAATTTATGTTATTTACGGACTGATAACAATAGATTCCAGTAAATCAAGTTAATTTGGTTTGGCCGTTACGCGTAATTGCATTATACCCGACGATAAGTTAATAAGTCTCTTCAAAACTGGAAGGTCGTAATGCTCTTAATCTGGAAATTAGCCATGCCGATTTTCGGAAGAAAAAGATACCAAGGTATCATACCTATTCAGATGGGTTCTGTCCTAACAGAGAACTACCACCAGTCAAGATTCAATTGGTAGTCAGGCAATTGACACAAATACAATATTAACTATAATATCAAACGAACATTTATCACGAAGCGTAACCACGGGTCACGTCGTAATTACTAGTGATGACGAATCGGGATTTAACGAATAGTAGTCGGCCAATGTTCGTTAAAAAGTGTACCCAACCGATTCGGTCAAATAATTAGCCACTTTTCATACTGAACTTGTAAAGTCGATGCGAAAATTAGACCTAATGAAATATGCGATCCTTTCTATAACTGCATCCTTACTTATTTGTATTTAGTTATCTTTGTTTCCTCTCCCCTCCGGACATTGATCGATTGATTTGTTGAGACGCATCTTATAGGTAAACCCTTTTATACATTTTATTAAGATTATTAAATTAAATTTTAGTAAGCATCAATTCGTTGTGATTAATATTTATTTATCCACTTTTATTCCTTTAATAATGTACTAGACAAGTACACCAATTGCTTGGTCTCAAACTGGGAAATTTCCTGTACTATGACTACCAGAGCAACGGAATTCTGGGGCATTTCCCAGAACACCCAGACAGGAGCCAATTTAGAAAAGTTCATTTCCCAAATTCGTCCTACAGGCAATCGAACCTCCGCGCATCCAGCGCCCACAGTGTATACAGTTAGGCTGCCTATGACGTCAAATAATGTAAAGAATAGACATGAAAAAAAAAATCTTTGTATACTATTTCGTAGACTATAAGCTACGTAAAGTAAATGATTTGATTATTAGTAAAAGTATGTTTAGCAGAAAGTTTGTCATTTTTACCGAATCCCGAATACAAAAGGAATATTCGGCCCACCCCTACTAATCACCATGCACCATTCATACAGTTTTACGATTACCTCACGACATATTCACTACACGAGCTTATTATATTTGATTGCAATGTCTCTTGTCAAGACGTCACGATCGTTAGCCGAAACAATGATTTAATTTTATTGTAGTTCATAGTGCATTCGTGGGTAATTGCTATATCGTTGTAATTAATTCCGCGTGATTGGTCAGTTTGAATTTTATTCTCTCTGTTCCGCGTCATATTCAAGATACGTGATTGTTCACTTTGTTTTTTGTACCACATTCGTAAAGCTAATTAAATATAATTCGAATGGTAATTGAAGCAATGTTCTTTAATTATTTTGTTTCCTTAAAATTTGACCTTGCGTAAGCGATCGTGTATTAGACATTTGATGTGAGACATTCGAAATACAAAAAAAGAAATGTCAATTAATTAAAAATATTCCCGCCGAATGCATCGTCAACACTGGTTCCGGATTCGAATGTTATCACTTTCGAAAATTAATAATTTTCTCGTATGTGAATTCTTTCTGTCACATTTCAAAAATGGAGCCCGTAGTGTTGTCATTCATTAATAAAAAATCACCTCCTTGTATGTAGTATTTTACAATGTAAAAACTGTATTCTATTTTCATCGCATTTAAGTTTAAAATGCAGTAATTAAAAGCCGTGACTCCGTCCATTCAATTTTCTTATCAATCTCATCATACCGTATAACCTTTTGATCTCAAAATTTTTATAACAAACATCTTTGTACAAACCATACACTTCATACACGTTCCATACAAAGACCGTTTCAGAAATATCTCCTTACAATACACGTCTTTGCACATGACTTTCTTTACAAGGAGTGTTTGTATGTTGAGTCATCGGAACAGAAGTTCCTTGTTGCGTTTTTTGATAGTATCTTTAAATGATGACATTGTTTGATAAGGAGCTTACTTAACATTGAAATCGATAAACGTAGCGTGGCGGCTTTGACCATAGAGTAAATAAAATACCACACGCAAAAGAGAAGTAATGTCAGACGAACTGTCAAACAGATCTCGATTTTTGAATTGTGCGAAAATAATTTATTTGAAGTAGTCGCATCACGTCACAATGACGTCACGTGTCTTGCGATGATATCCTGATATTTTTTTATTAACCGACTTCAAACGAAAGGAGTAGGTTTTCAATTCGACTGTATTTTATGTGTGTATGTAACGCGATTACACCGGCATTTGTAAACCGATTTCGATAATTCTTTTTTGTTAGAAAGAGGGTTTTGGTTCAATGTCACTATTGGTTCAATTTATGTATTTTAGAAAAAGTGTCGACTAATTATGCAAGAACATAAATATTCACATAACATTGACGGATTTCCACGGAGAGAGGAGATGCGAAGGAGAAATTTGTAAAAAATCACAATTTTGTTGTAGAAAGTTTCAGTTCAGAAAGAGAAAGAAAACGAATTAAAAAAGAATATGTTTATTAAAAAATCCACCTCAAAAGTACATACAGTTACATTATTTGCAGTGGAATTACATCTATATATCTATAGCTAAGTTTTATTGCGTTCGGTTACCGAAAAGTGCACGAAATCGGATTAATCTCAAAATTTGGTACCCTTACACAGGTGGAGTATTTTCTTCAAGTTTGAATGGGAGCAACAATTGAGATACCTCCATTTGCCCCCTATCCAACAATAAAAGAATCATCCAAATCTGTTCACATATATCGGAATAACCGCATAACATACTCACAAAAAAACACAGTCGAATTGAGATCCTTTTATTAAAGTCGTATTGTGCGCAATTTAAACTGGCACCTGCCGCATATTTACAAACGTACAACACTTATTATTGAACTAAATACCACCAAGTTCTAAACTAAGACCAGTTAACTTAAACTATCAAGTTACTAATAAATAACAAAGGATGTTGTCGCGCATACCTCGTGGCTCAATGTTTTGTTAACTTGCGCTTAGTCACAAATATGTCACCTCGAAGGAATGCGAGCTGGGTGATATCGCTTTTTGAAGATACGTCTTAAGATATGAAAGAGATATACGTTTTAAGGGTAACCTATCACAAAGTACAATTTCTTTTTTCCGAAATAACTTTTGTTCGAATTATCATTACACTGAAAACCGAATTATAACGGAACTAATATATAATTTAATATTGTATTAAGTAAAAATTAGGTTATATTTTTGAGTAATATTTTTAATTTAGGTTTATTGGTATTTACTTTGGCTAAATAGTTTTCAGTTTTTATAGTCTTTTATTTATTTTAGATTGATGAATGAAAATTATGGGTTATATAGTGATGAAGAAGTTTTTACATATATACAGAATGGATATTCCGAAACGGAATTTCGAAACGGTATTCCGACTGTATATGGCCGGCTTAAGATGGATCTTGTCTGTTAATTGAGCCTGACCTTTCTTTCACACTGTATTGGACTAGAGAGTGGGAGATTATAACTTAAACGGTCCCCTAATAGGAATCTCGTGGCCAACAATAGGACGTCAAGTTTTAACGATGACACTGTCAACTCTTAGAAGCTTAGTAATGACATAAAAATAGAGGAAATGGATATATATATATCTGTCTGTTTCTAATCTCACTCGTTACAGTTTTTAAGGGAATGCGAGATTAAAATCACATTAAAGAAGATCAATGTCGTGCTTGATACAAGTTTGTTATGTGTTTCGTGATGTCGCAACATGTAGAAGTTTTTATTTTAACAGATTTAATGGGTTAACGGTTGTTTTTAGAAGACTTTCAGATCAAAATAAATGCTCAAGATGTATTTCTTTAATATTCCATAGTGCCATTGTCGTGTCTCAAACTAGGGAATTTTCTGTGCGGTCCTCATAGGACCACGGATTCGAGGCACAACCCAGGCAAATCTGCCTTACGAATGAACAGTACAGTTTAATCAGTATGACGATTTCAAATGTAATTTGCTTACTTATGAAATTAAGGTAATTTGAATTTGACACAAACAGTTTCTGTTTATTTCCCAGTTGGAGTCGAATCCGGACCTCATATCCCATCGTTTGAAGGCACGATTGCAAAGGAGGAACTACCAAACTATCAAACATGGACATTAGATACTTTTGAAATAACTCAGTGGCCAAATTGTAATTCCAAATGGTCAATTGTAATTCCAGTTTCATTTCGATGAATTGACTTTTTAATTTTTTTTTAATACTATGTAGTATGTACATTTCGTATCCCTTCTAACTTCCCATTGCCGGATCTAGCATTTTCATCATAATAGCTATGAGTCAGATGCACAATCTTACTCAGCTTTTAAAAGCAAGCATTCTCCTCTAATCACGGCATGTCTGCCT